GGTCTTATCCCCATTGATGTCATTTTATAGGACCTAAATGCGCAATGTTTATGTACGTCTTCCTCTAAAGTGCATTTAATATGGTTTATTTTGAAAATTTAACTCTCTTTTATTGACATTAACTATAAAAAAAATTGCTAAATACAACTTTTGAAAGAATTCGATAATTGAAAAAGGAGGAAAAAAGAAAAATGCTTATCCAGATCGAAAATGAATCCCTGAAAATGATAGTTAGAGAGTATACGTATAATGGAAAGCGGAGGGTTTTAGAAAAAATAACATCAAATAAAGTAAGTTATAGAAGGTAACAGAAAGTGACAAAAAAAAATATAAATAATAATTTCAGATAACTAACATTATTTAATATAAGTCACTTTTCCAAGTAGATGAAATGAAATTTTCTTACTAAATGTAAACTTTTTTCTGAGTTTGAGAAAAAGTATGTAAAATCCACCGAATCAAGTCAATGCCATTTCATTGTACTTTTGTGAAAGAAGAAGTGAAATATATAAATATTTCATGTTTATAACCTTAAATACATTTACTGTACTTTAATACTCTAGATATGATATTATATTTAAATAATTAGGTATCTATTTGCCCTATGTTCCAAAAAATCATCAATAAACCTTGTAAAAAATTAAATTAGTGAATTATTTGATAAATTTTTCCTTTGTGAATTCCCAACATTATCCACTTACAATTAGTGTAAAACTGTTGACCTATCCATGGCAGGCAATGAAAATCTCATAATTTCATTTTAGTAAACTTTACAATGGAAAATAATAGTTTAATAACTAATAGTCCTTCAATCCATAATTATTTATAGGTTAAATATTTAGATATACAATACTTTCAAATTTCTCTAAGCATATATGAGTCTTTTGGTTGATAAAATTACTAACTCCAATTTCAACATTGTTTATTAATAATTTTAGTGATGTTTATAGTTATTTTATACCTTTATTAACAGTTCTAAATTTCAACAGTGCAATCACCTATTCTAGAATCAACTTACTCACTGTCTGTATAGATATAACTTTTAACCAACTAGAAATATCACTAAAATGGCATTACTCAAGTTAGCCATTTTGTCAACTGAAAGGCTCAGACTGAATTTGAGTGGTTTATAAAAGCAGATGGAGTTGCTTGATTTTTAATGACTACCGTCGATATAATAAATTGACTTTTTGTAATTTTAATGGTCTTAATGATTTGTTATCTGTAAGCTTTAAGGTTTAGCCCCGTTTAAATTTTACTTTCAAAAATTTATAATAGTCCAACATTGCCAGAAAATAATTTATATTGTAAGTAGAGCGGTAAGTGAAAGTTGTGTGTTGCGCGCACCAGATTTTTTTATTTGTGCCAACGTTTCAACACAAGCATATGGGTCATCATCAGGGCATGTTTTGAACTCTGGAGTTATTCAAGTACTCGGAGTACTTGAAGGCCCACATATGCTAGGGTTGAAACGTTGGCACAAATAAAAAATATTCACAATGACTGCGTCCTGACTATTTATCACCCATGAAAACATATTTTTAATAAAACCGACAGATTTGTCTGCCAGATTACCGAGCCATACGCTAGAATGGGTTGGAACATAAATTTATAATTTATTAATAACGAAAAAAAAGGCCTATTGTTGTCTTATTTCTTAATTTTTAATCATCGAACTATACATATTTTACTAACCGATTATACAAACCAACTAAGAATGTTATATTAGAAATATAATGTGGGATCGAAATAAAAAGTTGTGTTTAAGCCGCATTCCTGAGTCAAAACATGACGAACGAGGCTATGTGTAGGATTATGATTAGATTTTTAAAGGGCTCCACTAGAATCCAACGTCTTTTTTTACTGTCTGTGGGGCTAATAGTATTGATAAAGTGCTTGATATAGAAGGTAGAGTTGTTGATTTACAGCCAGATCAAAGGGATTCCGTGTTTCAATAATAAAGCTCTTAATGTTGATGTTATCCTGTATATTTTTTATTACTATAGTAAATATTATCCAGAAGAAAGTATGGGTACCGGTATACGGAGGGGAACGGGATTTTCAGTGTAATAGAGATTATTAAGATAAAACTGATCATAAATTTCTCTCTTGCACTGATATTAAGTTTTTGGTGGAAAAACGAGGACATGTGATGTTTAATTTCTCAGAAATATCTACCTGGCAAACACACAAACTTCTTACTTATGAGGCATTCTCCATTCTTGGAAGAGGAACAGTCAGACTAGTGGAAGTTGAGGAACCTAAAGCAACTACTATTATTATAGAAATGTCAGGATAAGAATGCTGGTGCGGCTGTGTCCATCATGATCATGCCTCTAAACGTATAGCCCTCGATACATCACGGCCGTCTACTATTATAGGCATAACCGGTAAAAAAAAAAAATATTATAAGTCAAAACAGACAATTTCAAACAAATTGATCAAACTTCGCTAGTAGATATAGATTGTGGCACAAATGGTATCCTGGAAATGGATTTGCTAGGCCAGTCTTCGGTGCTGGTAGCGGCTCAGTGCATGATAGATGGATAGTGACAATTCCGAACATCGAGGCAAACTCCACGAACAAAAGAAACTTCTCTTCAATGAGGGGAATTTTAAAATGAATTTATTCCATTGGCCTCTGTTTTATATTGACCACATAACAGGTTGAAAAGTTTTAAGAATGAAGAGATGGAGTTAGTCATCATGGAGGATATCCTAATATCCGTCTGATGTGAGAGACTAATACAACTTATTGAAGTGGCTAAATTTGAAGTCAGTGTTGGAAGAACTTAGGCTCGAAGAAATGAAGACAACGAGTGGGTGAAAGTTCCTAACGTCAGTATTTCGCTCATTAGGCTGTATAGGGGACGCCCTATGGAACTATTATCAAAAAGGATCGGCGACGTATTTTAGGAGTATCTTGCCACTTTTAAGAGTGGTGTGGAACAAACTTCACCTGATAAAGTAATTGAGAAAATGGTTGTAGTTGATCAGAAATTAACCTTTTATTTTTTTCAAAAAGCTGTAATAAATGTTTAAATGGAAAATGGGAATATACCATATTGTATAGATCCAATTGATCATACAGTATCTGTAAGGATGCAGTACCAATCGCACGATGCTCTTATTGATTTTTAATGACTACCGTCGATATAATAAATTGACTTTTTGTAATTTTAATGGTCTTAATGATTTGTTATCTGTAAGCTTTAAGGTTTAGCCCAGTTTACATTTTACTTTAAAAATTTTATAATAGTCCAACATTGCCAGAAAATAATTTCTATTGTAAGTAGAGCGGTAAGTGAAAGTTGTGTGTTGCGCGCACCAGATTTTTTTAACTCTTAAGAGTGCCTTATCACAAAAACCCGGATTTTTATGTAGTAAAAATATGTTTGTAACATGATATGAAGAACCGTAATATATCCAATAAAAAAAAGAGAAATATATAGAAAAAATCTCCAAAGACGCCATTTAAAATAATTAAATACACTATCGTTCCAACAAAAAAATTGGAAAATGATATAGGGTGAGGGATTAAAAATTAGACAAAGTATTTCATTTTTTTTTGTTTTTTTAAACCATAATGTAAATAGTAATGGTAAAAACCGTTATATGAAAAACTTTTTAAAAACGGAAATATAAAAAAAAATACAAAGTTGCTATTAGTTTAGAATGCCTAATTGGCATTACCATTAATGGCATACGTGAGGGGGAGGGAGTATTCTGGAAGTACAACCAAACCCGTTCTAATCAGAGTGAGAAGGTCGTGATTCATTCCGTGGCTCTGCCACCTAATATATTTCTTCACCCACCCGGGCCGGATTTGACTTGAAAATCTTCACGCTTTAACATGCTCGGTCATCACGACCTCAACACCGCTGCCCCTGCCATTTTTAAGAGCGGTGCGAAACAAACTTCATTTGCTAAAAACAGTTGCTGCCGTAATAGCTGTGACAGTTGCTATCATGACGGTAACTGCCGTAACAACTATCACCGTGGAAATGAGACCTAACATTTTATTTACTGAATTAATATTGACAAGGTTTTTGTTTCAACTTTTAACTAATGTATTGTATTCTATTTAAAGTTAATATTATTTAAAACTTATTAATTTCGTTATTAAAACTTAAAAAAAAAAAAATGGGAAAGCTGATATAAAAATTTGCATTTTAAAACTTTACAGATAAAAATTTAAAATAGAAAATACGAACAAAATTGTAGCATGACAATTTAGATGAAGTAGATATTAAAAATTGAAGGATGTAATGGAAACCCTTTGAAACAAAAATTATTAGTTCTTTTTAGTATCTAATTAAAACAATATAATTTAAGTTCATTATTGAAAAATCTAACAAAATAGGAAAATCTAAGGTAGTGGACAATCCCGACCTGAAATGGCTGCACTTGCCTGGACCAATAGAAACGAAGACTCATATGTCCAGACTGTCTCAAGCAAACCACAATATTTCTACAACCTCTTGGGGAAACGGCTCAAGTTGTGCGAGTTGCGTCTGTCAGAATGAAGGCGTTCCGTTTCTGCTGATTTACTCAATATTAAACAGATATTTTCAATTTATGTTTACTGCTATAATCTTATTGTATTTTTCTTTTATAAAAGTAGTGGAATCACTTCCGAAAAACAATCGTCACTGAAGATAACAAGATTATGTTCTGAACGTTGTGGGTTCGATTCCCAAACGGGGTTGGTTAATTTTTATTTCTTGGCGGCCCCGGATATTGCATTCCAACTCTGGTAAGTACGCGGCGGCAACCACCAGTATTCTACCAGTATCCATGCGCAAATAACTACGCATATATTTTATTTACTGCAAATAAAAATGATGATTAATTTAAGGCCAACTTAATGATCTTTCGTATACCATTTTTTTTTAAATTTTATAAATTAATGGCAAACTTGATATTTGTAATGGATTATACAAAGTCATTTTAAATTTACTGATTATTCCCTGAGACTAAGTTTTACTTTCCTTTTTCAGAGGCAGCGAGAGATGCGTCCTGCCCAAGAGTATGCCCAGCAAGCGCTCAAGAGCCTGTCTGTGGTACAGATGGTTTCATCTACCCCAGTTACTGTGAGATGAGGAAAAAGACTTGTGGAAAAGGTAACCTCGATAGAGATCATTCTGTTGATTGGAATTGCAGTTAGAATTATTTCAGCATTATTTGCTTGCATTTTATTTTGCAGATTAATTCAGAATAAGAAAGTCAATAAAGTGACTCTTGAATTTAACATATCAATGAATTTTATAGCTCCAGTAAATTATAGTTTTCTGTTTTATTTAGAACACAATTTAAGTGAAAGCAATTCTCAATCTATTTTATTTTGGCATTTGAAATAATATATATTTTTTTTTAAGATAGTTTTTTATTTTATTATCTTTATAAAGGTAATCTTTAAATATATTTCCTTGTATAGGTATATTAGCTTCAGTTCAAGTGGGAATATATGGAATCCAACAGATCTCCATTTTAAAAAACGGTACTTCGACGCGGGCTCTATGGACTGCTATCTGCAGTTATCTTGTTATTTAAAGTGTTGTTGCTATTTATATTTCTTATTAATATATATATATATATATATATATATTAATATATATATATATATATATATATATATATATTATATATATTATATATATATATTAATATATATATATATATATATATATATATATATATTAATAAGAAATATAAATAGCAACAACACTTTAAATAACAAGATAACTGCAGATAGCAGTCCATAGAGCCCGCGTCGAAGTACCGTTTTTTAAAATGGAGATCTGTTGGATTCCATATATTCCCACTTGAACTGAAGCTAATATACCTATACAAGGAAATATATTTAAAGATTACCTTTATAAAGATAATAAAATAAAAAACTATCTTAAAAAAAAATATATATTATTTCAAATGCCAAAATAAAATAGATTGAGAATTGCTTTCACTTAAATTGTGTTCTAAATAAAACAGAAAACTATAATTTACTGGAGCTATAAAATTCATTGATATGTTAAATTCAAGAGTCACTTTATTGACTTTCTTATTCTGAATTAATCTGCAAAATAAAATGCAAGCAAATAATGCTGATATTAATATATATATAATATATATATAAATATATATATATATATATATATATATATATATATATATATATATATATATATATATATATATATATTAATAAGAAACAGGCAAAAAAGAGACAACATCAAATATATTTATATTTCTTATGATACGAAAGTCTAATTTCATATGATGATAGGGATTATCAGTGCCTTATAACAATTATCAGTGTTCAGGTTATAAACATTTAATAATAAGAAATATAAATAACAACAACAATACTTTAAATAACAAGATAACTGCTGATAGCAGTCCATAGAGGCCGCGTCGCTCACAAGTACCAAAAAAACAAATGAAATTAATCAATTAAGTAATACTATGCGTGGGTTTGACGTATTGGTGCCTTTTAAATAACAAAATTAATTAAGTCATCTAAAGTGAACCCTTATCACTTTCAAATGGTTAAATCATCTAAGATGGCTTTTTATAAGAAAATTCCTCATTAATTATTTGATTTTTGACCTGGTTTCTATATTCAAATGTTTCTTTAAAATTTTTGGGTTCCAGTTTTCCTAATATTTTCAAGAATTTAGCTAATTAATAAATCAAAATTATATTATAAAAATGATTAGATTTCGTGATCTATGAAGAATTTTATAGGAGTACAAATCTCGACAAAGCAAGGACTTTGCCAACGAGCCCATGGCTCTAACTGTGATCACAGATGTGGTAACGAAAGGGATCCAGTATGTGGTACTGATGGCCGTACCTACCTCAACAGATGTATGCTTCAAGTTGAAGCATGCAGGTAAATATATTTTTTATTTTATTAGTTATATTTAAAATATGTGTGGCGGATGTAGTTTCATGAACGAAAGAATTCATTTAAAAAAATATATTCTGAGGCTTCATGGTCCAGCAGCCCCCCCCCCCCTCATTACTCTATAAATTGCATAATTTTGTGTTCCTTGCAACAATTTATTAAAATAAAGCCAATTTTTTCTAAAGACCGCACTGTCAAAACTGTGTCCAACCATGGTGGACTAACGACTTTAACTTGATTAAGTTTTTTGGTAATAGAGATTTAGAATTTGAATTTACTTTTGTCCTAATTGACCTCTTATTAAATGTGGATAGTCAAAGAATAATAAGCTGTTCTTTCATTAAGCATAAAAAAATAAGTTACCTGCTAAATAAATAGGTTCTTGTATTTTTGCGGCTTTGGGTATTTTGTCGCCTATTGGGTGAGTTTTATCTTTTAAAATAATTTATTTAAAATAATTCTTGCTAATAATAATTTTCTAATACATAATTGGAAAATATATTTTGGAAAACACATTTTGGAAAACACATTTATGCAGAATGATAATAATAATTTGAAAAATATATCTAAATTATTCTATATTTATCTATATTTCAAATTCAGCCTATTTGGACTTACGGAGTTGAGCTATGGGGCTCCACCAAACCTTCAAATTCCTCTCGCATCCAATCTAAAATCCTCAATGCTCCTTACTTTGATACAAATAAAATCATCCACAATGACCTTAATGTTTCTTATGTATCAGACTTGGCCCAGTCCAGATATCTATCCTTCCATAATAAACTGCATAAGCATCCCAACCCTCTTGTTTCTAATCTTACTTCCTATTTAATTCCTGATAACCCTCCGAGGCGTCTGAAAAGAAGATGGCCCTGTGGTCTTCTAATATAGACATATTATTACAGTTCTACCAATGGGTAGTTTCTCAACATGTGTTTCATGTCATTATATCCATGCACGAATTTACTAGATGTATGTTTTTTATACAGTTGTAAATACCTATAAATAATAATTAAAAAAAAATATATTTCTAATTCGAATAATGCCCGAATGAATCCAGGAATTGTTTCATTCTAGCCAAAACTGTTATTTTTACGTATCATTGAATAAAAAAAGGACTGAAAACGAATAGATATATCGCTAACGAGCCTCAGTTTGCAAACTACTGATCTGTAGCAGAGGTGGACAAATGCTACCCTGAGCACTGAGTGCCAAGTATTTTACTCAAATGACCCTTTTCGGGTACCAAATAATTTAATTACTATTTCAGTTGATGTCAAACGATTAACTGAAGTAGTGATTGAATTTCCAACGTTGATTCAATTTGAGTAAAATACTTAGTACTCGGTACTCAGGTTAGCATTTGCCCATCTCTGGTCTATAGTATCAATATAAAATTAAAATTTCTTTCATATTCTTTAATTTCGTAGGATGTAAATAATTTTGGAGAGCTTCAATCTTTGCTGAATCAAAGCACCAATTTCTGTCACTAGATGACTGACATTTTAGGTCCAATAGTTAATTTTTTTTTATTATTTATTTATTCAGTTATATAACATTCTGTCACATGGAGAATATTGAAATAAGAACACAATCTCACCGTATATACAGAAAACATAAAATAAACAGAAGTAAAAAAAGATGAATAGGACTATCATTTTTCAGATTGAGAATTCCACACAGAGATCAACCAACAAACAAATCAAGGAATCACAATCAAATCACATACACTTTGATATACCTTAATGAGGTGTCAATTTCATCCTCAAACACGACAGGACATTTGAATATCTTATCACAGGTCTTCCTTAAAGTAGATATGGAATAATCATCAATAAATCCACGTTTGTTTCTGCTGAAGAAGGGATCTTTTACTTTTATCAGGAAATTTCAAGAGATAGAATTCGTCCAAAAGTCGATCACATGAAAAGTATATGAGAATTCCCAAAACCCAAATCAGTAAAACAGCTAAGACGATTTTTAGGTATACATTTTTACAGTGGGTTTATTCCCAAAGCCGCACAAATACAACCGATTTATAGCCGATAACTTGAAAGATACCGATGCTATTAATGAACAACTTTGATAATTCAAGTATTCGAATGTTAATAGTTTAATAAAAAGGGTTCTGTACCGTGGACATGAGCTAAGAGTTCATATTAAATAAACACCTCTACTCGTGTTTAAATATGTGATTTGATATCTGTCTCTGAAAAGTAACTATCTTTTCAGAAAAAAAATACAATTTCATTACTTTTCTGAGGAATATTGGTCTATGATATATATTAACTTTTTTTTACATTTATTTTTATTATTATTAGTTTCTGTATTATTTATTATAAATAGAGTATGAGTGTGCCCTCTGAACACTATTACAAATGTCTTTGATTGTGACAGAATGTAATATTTCTGAATAAACAAATATAAAAAATATATATATTTAGCTCATAAGACATTTGGCGCCCCCGGGCAATCTCCCCCTCCTCCCTAAAAAAATTAAATTTATGTTTTATAGGCCTAACCATCTTATCCTGGATCTTTTTATCAATGCCACAATATCAGCTCCTCTTTCTTTCTTCTTCTCCAAATTCCATTCTCAGAGATTCCGCCCCTTTTTCTTCTCAATACTTTCCTCTCCCAGGAGTTGAGCATGTGTTCTGAGTTTTATTTCATTTAACATTTCTCTTATAGAATTGCTTTATTGGTATGTTAAAATTAATTGGTTTAATACGTTTTGTATCTTTTTTTTTATTTCTAACAAGTCTCATCTTAAGGCCAGGTCTGGTCTCTTATCATTTTTTTAAATAATTCGCTGTAGGTACAGGACACTCCATATATAGAAAAATAGCGCATTATTTAACGATACAAAAAAAATCAAAGCATAATAGGTTCAGTAATTGAATAGGACCATCAATTTTCTGATTGAGGATACTACATCGCAATGTATCTACTGACAGATTAAGGAATTCGCTGGGTTATAAAAAATATGTATTGACTCTTCTGACTAGGGACATTTACATTTAATCAATGCGCAATCAAACCTAAGATTTTTTTTTCTTGTTCTTCCCTACCTCGTCTTTTTAGGCCGGTGGGTGAGAGCGGGGAATTTAAAATCTCCTCCAGCACCGGGACGCGAACTCGTACTTTTTTAATCTCATAAATTTGGTTGTCGGGTTGTCGGGCAACTCGCGGTGCTGTGCACACGAGTCAGCCCAATCGGCCACCACGCCCCCTTAATCAAGCCTAAGATACTTCCTACCTGAAATTTAGCAGTATTCTCATTGTATATTAACAAAAAAAAGCTTATCTAATCTCATTTTCGCAGATCTACTAACTTCCCACGTCAGTTTAGAAAACAGGTCATCGATTTTTTTTTCAATAAGGACTTATATATTTTCTTCAAACGAACAGTCTCTTCTCCTTAGATTCATTATCACATTAGACTCATCTTTCAAATTACTTTTCTTCATCACGAAATTTGTAAGATTTTTGAAATATTTTAAGTATTTCATGACCTAATATCTGTATTTTGTATTTTACCAGGAATCCCTTTCTACATTTAGTGGAGGCTAAAAATTCTCAAATATACTCTTTAAACAATACACGTTGCTTCTTTAAAAAGTATTTTATTTGATAAACCAAAACTTCTTTTTTAGAGTCGGCATCTCCGTTTCCCATCTTGGTGCCTGCAATAACATATCAGCTCATCGGGAAAACTGCCCTGTAGACTGCGCCCAAGCACCCAAAGATGGTCCAATTTGTGGAAGTGACGGCAATGTCTACTCTAACACTTGTATAATGAAGCAATTGACTTGTGGGTGAGTTGTATTTTAGTTCTTTTGTATTTGCAAATTTTTTCTATCTACAATAATGTCTATTTAAAAATTTTTTTTCAGCCAGGGAGTTGTCAGAACCTCTAAGAAGCACTGTCAAACAACTAGACATTGTAGAGAATCCTGCTGGAGAAATGCAAAACCAGTATGTGGAAGTGATGGGGTCCTCTACAGCAATCCTTGTCGTATGAAATCCAAGAACTGTGGGTTAGTTTCTTTATATATATATATATATATATATATATATATATATATATAAAAGGTCAATCCCTTTGATGACCCGAACTTCAAGGGAATGAGAAAATTTTTCAGAGAAATCAAATCCATAGTTTGTGTTAAAGATATCATAGGCGCAGACTTCGGGGGTGACCTCCACCCAGTAATAGAAGAGACTGAGCGAGAATATTGTTTACGCAACGATCTTCTCCCCCACTCCAATAATTTGAATTACAGAAATTTACATCAATAACAAATAGTCTACATGAATGAATAAAATTTGTAAAGTAAAATCAATTAAAAAAATGAGAAAAATGTACTAGATGGCTGGGTTAATTCCTGCAAGTAGGTACGTAAGTATTTAAACACCACATAAATGGCGGGAGTTCATCTCAAACTTTAATGACTTCAAATACTTCTTTCTTTGTATCAGTACTTGATATTTAGAATCATTTTTACACGCCTTCGGCAATCTCATCAATTATCCGAGAACCACAGGCGGATGTACGGGAGGGGGCTTTAGGGCTGAAGCGCCCCTCTCCCTCCCCCCAAATATATAACCAAGTCTTATAAAAGAAATATTAAAAGATTATTTCTCATATGTATATAAAAAAAAAAAGCTTTCAGGCTGAAGTCCCCCCCCCCTCTCTAAACAAATTGAATTCTGAATCCGTTAGTGCTGGGAACTCTTAGCTCTATCATGATTTTCTAAAGACTAATTCTCTCTACGGAAACATTAGCTGCTTTGAAAGTGGTAAATAAAGCGCGCGCATGCTTAGCTTCTTCCAATCGTTTTTAAACACCTCTTTTTTCTTATCTTTAAGTCCTGATTGGTGGTCGCCTAATATACTTTTATAATAATTTCTTTGCCTCTATAATCAACACGAACAGCCCTTTCTAAGGATAGAACATATTTTCTGGGCTTTGATCTTCCACTTGATCCATCGTTTTGTTGGATTATTTCAACCTCTGATAATGTTTAATTCTTCTCCAGATTTCGGTCCGAATCACATAGTTTCTTATGTCTTGAATGAAGCTTTGGGCTACGTACTTTAAGAGATACATCAGCTGATGCTGTCAAAGTGGCAATGTAAATTTCTTCCAGGAATCACTTGCATTGGTTTAACGTTTTTTTGCTTATAGCGTGGTGTTTCTTTGTATTTTAAAAAATTTTCCAGTACAGTGGACCAATTCCTTCAAAATCGACTTACCGGAAATGTACTTAATACCATAGAATATACACGTTTTTACTAGTTTTTCGATGTAAATTGTAGTGTATGTAGTTTTGAATGCGGTATTTTTAATTTACTTATCTTTAAGTTATTTTTTTTTTTATTTATTGTATATACTTTCTGATTATTATTTACTTTTTAATTTTCTTCTGTTTATTTTATCTTTTCTGGATATATGGTATGAATGTGGTCTTACCTCCGTATATCTACTGTCCAAGTAACAGAATATTATATTAATAAATAAAGCTAATATTACATTTTTTTTCAAAAACGGCTCTAATGTTTTTGATTAAACTTAAATGTAAAATATAATAATATTATAATGATATTAAATCTTAATAAAATTGTCTTTAATATCATATAGGCAAAATAGGATTTTGTGTAAAATCTTAACGCAATAATATATATATATATATATATATATATATATATATATAATATATATATATATATATATATATATATATATATATCATAGAGGTGTTCACCTCACTGAAATTGTTTGAAAGTGCTTAAATGCGGAGTTTCTTGTAAAACAAAATTAAAATCTGAAGCAGAATGCCCTGTTCATGTCACTTTACTTCCCATACGGTTCTGAAGTATAATAAATTGTTTCGACCGCCAATTAGAAATGAAAACAACGACGGACATGTATTATAAATTGTAATAATATGAAATGAGGAAAAATCTAGTTTGCTAATTTATATTGGATAATAAAATTTAAACCCCTTATTGCTGAAAAGTAATATAGGAGGAAAATAACAGTGAATAAGAAAAGAAGATAATATTTTCCTTCCATTATCGTTCATTTTATCAAATTAAGTTCAATACTTCGTAAGAAGTACTATTTCAAAGCCAAAGGTTGTGCAGAGAGATGATTGGGCCGAAGTCGAGCTCAACCGCCAGGTTTTTCTCTTTAAATAATTATTTAATTTAGGGTACCAACTTAAAGCTCGGTGTGTCCCATGGGTTTCTCCCGACCCCAGGGTCGATCCATGACCGACGAAACAATAAATAATTCATCTGCCTTCAGTAGGATTAGAACCTGGGACCTTGAGCATTACTACAAGTTAACAATTGTAGTATAAAAACTGAGATAGTGTTTACAGCAACCCATAATAATACCATAATATTTTTCTGCTCTATAGGAAACATGTGTTTGAAGTTCCATTGGCCTACTGCCTCTCTCAAGAGCGTACAAGTGGGTCAATGCAACCCGAATGCCCAACTAACTGCACCAGGTCAGACCAGCAGATCTGTGGCAGTGACGGTAACGTCTATTCGTCCGAATGTGAAATGGACCTGATGAATTGTGGGTAAGTGAATAAATATTTACTTTTATAAAATTTAGGTTACTAATAGTCGTTTAACCGGTGATTAAATTTAATCAAATTGGTTGACAGCAGTGTTTCCATGCTTCTTTCTCAAGTTGGATAATATATTATATTCCATGATAAATAAGATCTTCCAGTTTTCTTTCAGTTTATTGAATTTTCTTGTCTGAGACGTTCAAGAGTGATACTTTTTTAATCAATGCCTACTTTAGATGATAGCTCCCATATTTTGTTTATTGTCACCATTTCACCTTAGATATAATAACCAAGGAACTTAACTAAATTGACATGAAAAACTTAAATGAGACTGCAATACCATTTATTAAATCTATGAAACACTTACATATAATGCTTGGTAATTTCTTCAATCCGCAAGGAAAAGAAAATACCATGTAATGGAACACAGAAACATCACTACAAGATGATGCTAGACACTATACATCCAGATTCCAAGTTCAAAGCAGTAATTTTAAGATGGGAAAACAATTAAGCTCTGAGAATAAATGGAATAACTTCAGAGGTGGTCAAAAATGGAGCCGAAGTTCTGCACTAAAAAATATATAAGCTGATACTGGATATATTGGTGTATCCAGGGGAGGGCAAGAAGTTACAAACATGGACAAAATTAAAAATAAAATACCAACTAACATAAACAACAAATTTCCTGGGAAACTGACAAACATCGACTAGTATAACTAGAAACTTATTATTCTAGAAGAAACTTATTATTCTTATACGTCCCGCGTGGAGACAAGGATTCTTGCAGCTTTGTCCTTCAGTGATCCTTGTTCCACGCTGTCACCTTCCAGACAAAGTACAACTAACTTCGTTAAAAGAACATCATCTAACTAAAATAAATTAAATTTTAAAAATTGTCCTGCCCTTTTGTAATGCGAAGCCCTTGACTAGATACATGGTTAAACGAAGAAATGCCTGAGACATTGGTATGGTTGATATTCATGAAAATTATTGTTGGGCTGAATAGAATTCCATCATCATACACTTCCTGGGGCTCATTATATTCTTCAACACGCAGAAATATTATTAGGATAATTGTAGATGACATATATTGCATTATTCTAAATATATATACAACCAGCATACCATGCTTAAAAGCCCAGCCTATAAACTTTTTTCGTGCATATATCTTGCTTGGTGCTCTCCTAGTATTTTCATCCATTTGTTGTATCTTAGTATTTTCTCAATATCATATTCAAGCGACCATTTTCCTTTAATAACCAGTTTTCATCATAATATCACCCAAATCACAAAACACACCAGGAGGATCACAGCAATAACAGATAACAGCAATAATGAGTAAACGACCTAATCACATCAGAAATTTTCTGATTTTGACAGCAGAAAGTTCAAGTGCTAATAACTCAAACAAACATGTTCTCGTACCAGAATGAATGTAAATTAGCAATTAAAAAAATTACATTAATATTATTTCAAAAGGAACCTACTTTGAGCAACTTCGGAGAATAAAATAAAAAATCCTTAATGTCTCGCAAGACAATTAAAAAAAAAATGGGTACAATTTTTAAACATATCTCAACCCTTGGACTCAGAGAACTGTACGGTGGACCTGTACTGGGAGGCATCAAGACAGAACTAAACGAAATAGCTAGACAAGTAAGAGGTATTCAGAAGAAACGACAATACAAGAAGTGATTGACGGCTCTGGACAATTAAACAGCCGCTGATAAAAGACAAACAAAATCATAAGATTGGCAAGAAGAGAACTCTACTCTAAGAGAAAAATACGGAAAAGCCATTGAGGACAATTGACTGAGTGAAAATATAACCCAACTCTTCGCAGACATTAGGAAAGAAAGAGAAGGATATAAAACGAGAAATGCGCAAATGACAGAAAAATATGGCACTCTAATGGCATTAAACAAAGGATGTTCACGATTAAAGAAGATATTACCTAACATACTGACGACTTCGACCCACAAGAGGTTGAAAAAGCACATATACTAGATTTGAAAATAGCTAGTGAAAAGCTTAAAATATGAAAGGATGGACAACCTAGTATCAAAACTGTTTAAAGATGAAGAAGGCAGAAGAGTTAAGTTACTAATTCAGCAAAGAAGAGTGGAGTAAAGGACTACACTCTCGGAAAACGGGACTATTCTGTCTAATCCTAATAAAGGGCTCCATATATAAGTGTAGTAATTACAAAAAAATATCACTCCTTCCTGTTGCCTACAATGTAATGACCAATACCTTGCTTAATCGGATATATCCGTATTATGAAAATATAATAAGCGATGAACAAGAATTTTGGATTCACGAAAGAGTAAGAAGTACGCTAAAACAGGTGTTTGAAAAATTATGGAAAGTAGATAAGGATGTGCACGCCTTATTTGTCGATTTCAAATCAGTGTATGATACTGTGGACATTTTGGAAGACCATGACTGTCTTTGGAATTTCCGGGAAGTTGGTGAGATTGACGAAGGTGTGTGATCCTAAATGTCGAGTCTTGATACACAAAGAAGTATCTGAAATCTTCAAAGTTCGAACTGGTTTGTGGCAGGGAAATAGATTCTACGTCCTCGATGTCTCTTCAACTGAGCACTTCAGCATTGGATAAGATAGTAAAAACAATAATACGTGTAAATGGGGGCTTTTGCGCCGGAATGAATTATAAAATTCTAGGATATACTGATTGGAAGCAATCAAGAGAACTTTTAGGTAGTAATGCAGTAATATGGTAGGAAGCCGAAAATCCTACCTTTACAGAAGGATGCGCATGGATGGCAAATCGAATAGAAATAGACCTGTGTATAACAAGTGCCTAACAGAACTTTCTACTCTTTTACAAATACTTTTGCGGGTTTTTCTGTTTATAATCAAAACTAATAGAAAGATAAATTCTAACAAGCTAATAGAATTACATATTTTTTTAGAATTTTTGTCTGACTTGTACTACCATGATCCTGACGTAGTATCACTATATCACTTTCAATAATTCAGTAGCATATTACTTAGTATTTATATATTTTTCAATGTTTTCCTATTATACTTCAAATGTTGGAAAATATTTATTTTCATTATTAAATAACATTGCTTTGCAAAAGTATAGTTTGAATGATTATCATAGGTCTCAAACAAAGCGGCGGGTAATGCGAGTCGATTTGGATAAGTGCAAGGCACGTTTGAACAAGTGCCAGAAAATCAAGTGCCCACCTTCTAAGGATTCAGTTTGTGGTTCAGATGCTAGAACTTACGATAGTGATTGTCACTTACAAATTGCCACCTGTTTGTGAGTATCATACACATAAAATGATAAAATAAATAGACAATAGAAAAGTAATATTTCTATTTGTTCTCTCCATATTCAGGCGTGGAGTACAGCTGGCCCATATTGGAGACTGCAGCCCACTGCTAGATAGGGAAGAATGTCCCTCTGATTGCGATGAAGAAGAAACATTACCTGTTTGTGGTTCAGACGGAAATGTGTACAGGTAATTAATCTTAGTCTCATAATATCCCATAGAATGTTCTGTTATTAATTTATGTTATTTAAATATAGATTTTTTATGACATTTCTTTAAAACTACACTACTTTCACTTACCATCCTACTTTGTGATTAGAAATAGTTATTTTCATAATATGGAATATATATCATATAGTTTTAAGAAAATTATATATTATATTATATAAATTATATTTTAACAAAAAAACCCAGAATATTATACATCTCTAGTACCTACTATTTTTGTTTCCGGACATTTTTTTCAACCTAGCAAAGTAATACCTTATTTTTTTTCTCATTCATAAAATTCTTTCATTGTTTATATTTATCCAATTTTTTATTACTTCTAAGAATATGAAAGTTTTATTATAAAAAAAACAAAACAGAATTAATCATTAAAATTCAATGTTGTTTTCTGAAAAAATTTCAGCTTAAGTCAGTTTTAACTTCTAGTTCTTCTTTTCTTGATAAATACCAACCTACATCATTTCTTGTGCATTCATTTATCATTAATAACTAACTTCATTCAGTTGACTATGAGTAACGTATATTATATAACATTCAATTTCAATGTCAGAATTTTTACCCTAATAGTATAACTTTTGAGTGAAGAAACAAATATTCATATTTCTCACAAAGGGAGGTTACGGATTTCAATGAAACGTTTTTTGGTGATACTAGGTCGAACAATTTTATACCTTTGCCCTAGGGTTTTTGCCCACGAGGAACCAAAAAAAATTATAATATTTAAACAATTTTTTTTTTTAACATTGGCTTTACATGAACTTCTAGGTTGTAATAAAAGTGCAACCAGCAGTACTAAAGTAGGCTCTTACTTCGATTAAATCAGAAATGTGATGCGCAATAGCAAATGTTAAATTCGAAAATATTTTCATAAAAAGAGCGCCCGATGATATATTAGTTGACCGTCACATCGATTAAATCCGAAAAGTTACAAAAATGTAATGCAGGATAAGGACCGAAATTAACCCCACTACATCTCTTATTCTCCAGTACCTCTATTAGTGTCAAATACTTTATTTCTCAGTTCCCCAGCTGATTTACAAATGACTCTGTACCCAATATGTTAAAACAAAATCGGCAGAGACGATAAATCTAAATAGTTTGTTCCATGGAAACTAATATACCATAAAAATATCTCGGAGGCAGACGTATCGAAACAATTTGTTCTCTCACTCCTGTGTAAAATTCTCCAGTAAGTATCAAGCTACGAGGATCGCGTAGAGAAATATCTCTATATTGGCCGAAATAAGAAAGATCGCTGGGCATATTAAAGAAATGAAGTTACCGCTGGGAAAGAGAATGACCTAGCGTTTGAAAACAGCGAGAGAACTAGATAGAAAAATAGAGGAGCTGGCACTTAAACAAGAAAAGATTATTGAAAATTTTTCAACGTAGAATAAAACTTTTAAATCACAAATAAATGTCATCAGAGCTCGGTTTAATCAAGTACAGCAAACACAGCTGGCAAAGAAGAGGTAAGAGGGATTACGGCTAACCTTGGAGAAACGACAGAGGGCCTAGTTTGTACCATAGGGTCAGCTCTAGATATAAAATTGTGTTTTGTGAACCTATACTTCGTTGAAAGAAAAAGAACCAGGACCCTCAGCCACCGTCCATCGTAGTGCGGTTCGTCCGCCAGACGGTACGTGACGAGGTTTATTTTTCTTCTATTTTCTCGTATGCCTTGATCGTCTTGAGCTCATTCGGTTATGCGACGTCTAGCAGCCCAGTAAATTTCACCTGTAGTCCGGAACAAGTCAGTAGGTGCCGAGCTGTTATGGATCCTTGTCGACACAGAGGACATGTTGCTAATTCGACAACTCCAATACGGTGAAGGTGGCTTTGGAGATAGTCATGTCCGGTTTTTATCCTAAACTGTGCAACGGCCTCACTTCTAGAGAGATCCACTGGCATTCTTCCATTTCCTTCTAGTAATGAAGCCCATTGTTTTTCCTTCAACTCCAACTGCCGTTTCTTTTCCAATTCTTCCGCGACAAGGCTATTCGTCTACGTAAAATTAAAAAGACTTCTCAATAAGACATCTCATCAGCCCATGAGAGAATATACGTCAGTGAAGAAATGAGTCCCGGCAAAAAGCATCTGTGTTAGTTGGAAAGGTAGGGAAGCTGAAGTAGGTTTGGTATGTCCGAGGAAACATCAAATATCGAAGAGAAGATGGCTCCCCTGTCAATATCTTTTACAAAAAGAAAGATATAGAAGCATTAGACTGAAATAGATTATAGCATCCTCCCCCCGAATCCTTTGGTTTTTAGAGTCCTATTTTTTTAGTTGTTTACCTTTTACACTAGTGTAGATTTTTATTTCACCTTTTTACTATTATTTTGAAAGGTAGAAGCTTTTTATTTTATCTTAAATTAAACCGTATTTTTTCTATATTCATTCCTGCTTATAATTGCTTGTTAAAATTTACATTTATTTTTCTATTTCTCTATTTTCTTTACTTTACAATATACTGTTTAAAACTTAACCCTTTCCTTTAATCTTAACTCCGTTCTGTCCCACCCCACTGTTTTTCCTTTATTTAATTTTTTTCATGACTAATACCTTAATATCTAGCTACGTTAACACCCAATCCCTTTCTGCACATTATGACGAATTCCTCGATTATTTTTACGATTTCTATCATATCATTGCAGTATCCGAAACTTGGCTCAAACCAGATATCTCCTCACCATCCGTTTCCTTACCCGACTATACCCTCTTCATGATCGGACGGATCGAACCGGAGGAAGTGTCGGTCTGTTCTTCATGATAGTTTTAGGGCTAAAACCTCCTTCCCGGAAATCCCACACATTGAATATCTATTTGTCCAAGTGTTCTCCAGAACCTTTTTACTATTTACTTATTCTTGTTATTTACCGCCACCTCGTGTCCGATTTGATCCCACTTTTGAATCCTCCTTCCTTACATATATACCTCTTTTTGAAAATATCATTATTGTAGGTGATCTCAACACCAATCTCCTTGCAGATTCTCCGGACAGAATGCCTTATTGACCTGTTTTTCTCCCTAGACCTATTTATTATACCCACACATCATATCCAGTTCACTGATACTTGGTTAGACTTATTTAACATTGGTTCCCCTCAAAACCTATTATTCTTCTCTCATCTCACGATCTTATCGAAATTACATACAACGTTATTATTTCTACACTTATTCCAAAACAAATTTCCTGAAGAGGTCTTGATTCCCTGACCACTGAAAAAATCAGTCCTCATCTCGATTCCCTATCAGTTTCCTTAGATGTATATATTATCTTTAAATCCAGAACCAACGACTATGGTCCTTAACCAAATACCTGCGAAAATCATCAAACTATGCCTTCCAACCTTACTTTCTGTACTTTTACACGTATGCAATTTTTCCCTGTCAAATTTCATTTTTCCTAAACCAAGAAAAAGTCATTGTTGAAAAAGTTCCTTCTCCTTCATTAGGTTCCGACTTCACACACATTTCCAATTTATCCAAGCCTCTAGAAAGATTAGTTCACTCACAGTTGAGTTACTTGAAACTCCATACCTATCTTCATACCTTGAACCACCTCCACAAATTCCTTCAAACAACTGCTATTCTTCCACCTACTATACATTCAAACTTCAGAACTGAGAAATTAATTATTTGACACTAATAGAGATAGTGGAAAATCAGATATGCAGTGGGGTTAATTTCGGCCCTTATCTCCCGCTCAACTGTCTTAATAAACTCTGAATTTATTTCTTACCTTGTTGTTTATTAGGTAATAATAATCAAAAATCACCAAATCAGTCAATAAAAAGGACACTTTCGATCTGTACTAAGTGTAAAATAAACTATGTGAATAGCACCACTTTTAATAGAACAGTTGTAACTTCAGAAATTAGAGGAAAAACACCGGTCCTATCTGTATAGGGTCTTTATACAGTGCCTTTGTAAATGCCAGACTGTTGTAACTATTATGTGGTCGGGGGAGCTTTTTATGAAAATACTGTCGGATTTAGGATTGCACATCACATTTTTGTAACTTTTCCGATTTAATCGATATTATGTTGTCAAATGGCCGACTATTATGTTGTCGGGACCACTTTTTATGACAATACTGTCGTATTTGAAGTTGTGCATCATATTTTTGTAACTTTTTGGATTTAATCGATCTAAGGATCGACTATTATGTTTTCGGGGGGAGGGGCGCTTTTGATGAAAATGCTGTCGGATTTAAGATTGCACATCACATTTTTGTAACTTTTCTAATTTAATCTATACGAGGGCCGACTATTATGTTGTCGGGACTACTTTTTATGAAAATACTGTCTTATTTGAGGTTGTGCATCATATTTTTGTAACTTTTCAGATTTAATCGATATTAGGATCGACTATTATGTTGTCAGGAGAGCTTTTTATGAAAATTCTGCCGGATTTAGGATTGCGCAATCGTGAATCACCTTTATGTAACTTTTTTTTATTTAATTGAAATAAGGGACAACTATTATGTTGTCGGTTGTTCTTTAGTTTAATTTTAAGTTGTTCTAATTCTAAATTGATCTTTCCATTTATTGATCTTTCCATATAGTAATAAATCACTGTTACTTGTGATCCTGAACGTGACATGATATAATATTACCGAATAAAGAGATGTATTAATTCTAAATTAATTAAATTCGAATTGTTACTGATCAGAGATAAAGAGAATTTTGTAAATACTGGACGAATATATTTTAATGAATCGTATTTTAACATCGTTACTATTATAAGTATTTAGACTATTTAAAATCAGTGCAATTCCGAAAAAGAATTAGAAGTTCTATAATAATCTCAGATTAGACAATATATTCATAAAAAGGTCTCTGACAACATAAATGTCGACTCTTATATCGATTAAATCCGAAAATTTACTAAAATGTGTCGCGCAATTGCCTAATCTTAAATCCGATCTTATGTTCATAAAAAACGTCACCTTATGTTCATAACAACTACAAATAAAACTATTTAGCTGTAATTACTATCACAACTGTTTTTTCATAAGTAAACAGATAATTAGTTATCCATTTGGAATGACAACTAATTTAATTGCAGGTAATAGTTGTCAATTGACGAACGAAAACTAACTATTTAGTTGTGTGTTCAATGCAACTACAACTAAGTTAGTTGGATCTATTTTATTATCTATTAGTTGTAACCAACTTTCTCCCAATTCCGCTTTCTTCTTAAGTTAATTTGGTTATAATGGTAAAGGAAATACTATCTTTGATGATTTTTTTTTTAAATGTTTCATTTTCTAGATCATTATGTGATTTGAAGAAAGCCACATGTGGTCAGAGAGTGGTTCCTGTCGCATTACACCATTGCCCTACAACTGCTGCTTGCAAACTAAACTGTTCTGATGAGAGAGATTTTGTTTGTGCTTCAGACAACCGATTTTACCGAAATGAGTGTATCATGAGAAGAGAAAATTGTGGGTGAGTTATATATAACCGTTTCTTTTTGTGTAACTTATTATATGAATTTAATTAATTTGTTCTGTTTCTTCAGATTGAAGTCATGTTATTTGTTTGTGTATATAAGATAACTAGCGTAAGTGACCCAAAAGCTACTTTCCTGCCTTGATCTCCAGCAACAGTTTTTACCATCGTTTCGTTTATCGTCTGTTATAATTTTTTTTCGTCACGAAAGTCCTTTTGGTATAAATTAGTGATGATCTGTTTTTAATACAACTGGAAAGCAGATTAAAAATAACTCACTTTGTAGAAAGACAAATATATTGTCTTCCAGTTAGAATGCGTAAATTTGTTTAAATTTATTTATTGAATGATACAATATGTCATACCCAAGGGTGTTAAGTTTTAGGGCCAAAGGTATCCATTCATACAATATGTACATACAAAAAAAAAAAGTAAAAGTAATTAAGAACAAATTAAAATAATAATAATAAGTATATAAATAAAATAAAATAAAGATGGACAAACAAATGTATAAAATAATAATAAGTAGTAATAAATAAAGTATAATGATAAAAGTAAAAAATATATGTCCTCATAAATAAAAGGATATTTAGAAATAGATAATTATTACAAAAAGATAACAAAAAGTAAATTAAAGGTAAATATAAAAATAAATAAAAGTCATCTAAAATACATTAATACACCTATATGAAATATTTATTTTTGCCCAAGAGGAACCTAGCCAGGCTTTATCTGCCACATATAAGAAGCAAAACAAGACTAGGAGATCCCAGCGCATCTCTTCTAGCCGCGTCACTGGATTGGAAACCAGTGGAGACTGAAAGAGGGTACTAGAGCCACAACCACCCAGGAGTGGATAAGCTGGCCATAAGCAGGTCTCCATTAACATATTTACAAAAGTCTTAAGGCCACTGTCGTTTTTACCTTCGGGGACGATCATGAGGATGGTCGGAACTGGATAGAGACCGAGCTAGAGGATTAGACTGAAAAATAAGATTCAGGTGAAAGTTTGTAAATCGGGATGGAACGATGAAGTTCTAGGACATATGGGACATTAAGATCATGGTGTAAGATCTTGTTTGTAGCATAATGTAGAGCGTTTCCTATTGTTCGAAGTACTTTGGACTGGAAGGATTGAATATATTTGATATTCGAAAATTTAGCTGTACCCCACAATTAAAGTCCGTAGGTCCAGACAGGTTTCAGTATGGTGTTGTAGATTAATAATTTGTTTTGAAAATTGAATGTTCTGTTTAGTAATCTATACAACTGACCAAATCGTCGATTAAGCTCTTATCTTAAGTGAGCTCTTGTCTTAAGTGAGCTTAAGCTCTTATCTTATCTTAAGTCTGGTATATGGTTTATTAAGTCTGGTATGTGGATTCCATGTCAGTCTTTACAATGCGTAGATCAGTGAAATACAATCACATTATGCAAGAGAAAATAAGATACAAAGTTTTCAACAATGTGATCAAACCAGCGTTGGGCGTTAGTCGGTCGAAAATGTATGCAATAAAAGTTATTGAATTTTCAATCATGAATTAAAGATTATTCAAAATGATTGAAACTGTATCGGATAACAAAAAATACTCACAAAGTTAGTTATTGATTTTAAACTAAAACTTTAATTGGATATATAATTATTCTTATAAATATAGGCTTGGTAATTAAGTAATTGCAGATTAATGGGAAAATGAAAGTATCCAAGTTGTTTCAAACTCTTTTAAATACACATATGTGAACTAATAGAGCTTCTCTGTAACTCACGAGTAGAGCGATTTTTGTTGATAACCTCCTTGATTTGGTCGTTTTTAACTTCATTTGGTCAGCCCTAGCGTTATAATTCGTCTTTCAATAAAAAAAATCTTCCGCGTGAAATTTCACAAACCAATTTTGACACTGCCTTTCTTTTAATGCTTCAGCGCCATAAACAGCACATAACTTTTTGTTTACTTGTGAAGCATTTTTTTCTTTACGAAAATAAAAAAGAGAATATGTCGAAAACGCCCACTTTGAACTTTCATTTCAAACATAATTTGAATACTAAACTAAACCTTTAATCACCAAAATATTTACATGAAATTATAAATGAGATATTAAAGGTCAAGCAAAAATAATGAGATCAATTTTTTTTTAAGTATAAAAAGATAACATGGTTATTAAAGTCATTTACTTGTTAAATTCGCAATTATTTATTTGCCTACAACATATTTAATAGAATAAAATCTAGAAAACCCAAATCCTTCAAAAACTATCACTTTCAGACTTGGATTCGTGTTGAGTTTTCACTTCTGTCATTAAAAAAAATATATAAATAAATGAAAATTAATAAAATAAAATTTCGGTTTGAAAATATTAATATTTTCTTCAAGGCACTGAAATTCCCACTTATAAAAAATTGTTTAGTTTTGTTCAACTATTATGTTTATGTTCCATTCAATAATAATTCGTGAGTGACACGGATACGAATTAATAAAAATTACAGTATTTACTTGTAACTACTAACAGTGCAATTTTCATTTTAAATCTTACTTTTTTATTACCAATGCAACTAAAATATTTTTATTTTTTTTTATTATTTTATTGAAATTTACAACTGTAAACATATATACAACCAGTAAATCAGCTATAGGAATATATAACATGAAGGTACTTGTGACGAAACTACCCATTAGTAACACTTCAAAGATAAATTAATTTAGGAGGTCCCTTGGCCATCTTTTTTTCAGAGCCTAGGCGGGTTGTCAGGAATTGTATTGGATGAAAGGTTACCAACTAGAGGATTGGGTTGGCCCAAGAGTTTGGAATTAAAAGAGGTATATCTAGTTCGGGCCAAGTCTTTCACAAGAGGAATGTTGAGGTCTTTATAGAAAATTTTATTTGTTACATAATAAGGAGCATTTAGGATTTCGGATTGTAAGGATTGGATACGGGAAGAAATTGATGATTTTGTAGAGCCCCAAAGCTCAATACTATATGTCCAAATGGGTCTTATGATGGTAATGTAAATGAATTTTTGTAGAATATTGGAAGTTTAGAGCGTTTGTCAAGTAAGTGTTGTAGTAGTCGGAATCTGCTGGCAGTTTCTTGAAGGATAGGACTAACAATTTCTTCGCAGTAAACCAGTGGAAATCAACTCTAAATGAAAGTAGTTTGTCATTTTTGAAACAACTTAAAAACAATTTTTTAACGGAAAAGTTTTATATAGTTCTAATCCTAATATTTATGTTTTCATAAAAATAATTTAACCAGTCTGCAGGTTTCTTTATTTTAAACGTAAATTATTATTTATTTATTTAGAATTAGAAACATTTAGTTGGTCACTCATAACTACCGATAACCTTCTATAATAGTGATCTTAATTAACAACAAAGTTTCATTATCACTTTAGATGATAAATATTGGAAATATCAGTATTTTTAAGAGAGAGAGAGAAATACTTTATTAAAAGTAATGCTGCCCTACTACATAGGGTTGCTTCGTACACAGCATACCTATCAATCCACAAGGACATTAATTTTATATTTCATTTTTCTATTTTTTTATACATATATATGTCATATCTTTCCTTTCTTTCTCTCTTTTTCCTCTTTCCTCTCATAACAAATTCTCATAAGCAATTCCCAGAGTGCAGACAAAAAGACAGGACGACAGCGGATCAATTCAAAATTTAATAAACAATTATTACCAGATGTCCTCAATCGGTATAAATATGATAGTGGATGATTCCCAGGGAGTCCAAAATAATATTTTCGGCCAATACCGCGAGCTCCCCAACATCAACACCTAGTTCTTCGAGAAAGCTCCTTGTTCTTTCCGGGATCGTTCCGCGAGACCCAAACCAGAGGCCTCTCACGGTGAACTCTCTCTCTCCGAAGGTCTCGCGGAATTTCTCTTTTAGGAAAGGGATGCATTTTTCGTATATATTCCTCTTTTCCCTTTCCACTTCACCCGCCTGATCGAGGTCGTTGCTCTCAAAGCGGACAGTTGGATCCAAGATTAGCGCTGTCCTTCCTGTTCTGGGAAACGCGACAATATCCGCATATCTTGTAGAGCCTTCACTGTCTATGCAATAGACCTCGTCAAAGCAGGTGAATTCCTTTTCTCTAAGGAGCCTCATCACCTCGAACTTTACCCTATGGTGCCGGCGTGTTATGAGGAGGGAATTGTTGGGGCATTTTCCCAGCACATGGGCTGGTGTTTCCGACTCTCTGCCGCATTTACGACAGAGGGACCCAACTTCCTTCGACTGTCCACTGGCTCCTGGGACTCCGCGTAAAGGTGCGTAATTGATGTTTAGTTTTAATGCGTTGGACCATTCCGACCCCGAAAGCACTTTTTTCTGGCATATGTATTTATTGGCTTTCGGGGTCTCTTTAAAGTGTCGAACTCCAACGCCTTGCCACCTGCAGCTGGCCCACTCTTCAAAAGAATTTTCTCTCAGCGACTGTCGTAGAGCTCTCACGCTTCGGTGGCCCTGATCCACTCCCAGTCTTTCCGCACATTCCGCGATTTCCGCATTATAATCAAATGTGGACTGGAACAGGGAATCCGGCACATTAGACAGCCGCTGGGCAATGGACCAATGCTGCAAAGGAGCCTCCCATTGACAGCGGATCAGTCCCAATCCACGAAACCTCCTCGGTGCATAAAACATCGCCGTTGATGCATTAGCAGGGAGCCCGATAATGGCCTTGACACTCCTGCGGATATTTGTATCAATTCCTTCCAATATCGCAGGACGTATCTTTGTGAGGGGCGCCGTCTGAAGAGGGTAAGTAAGTCCCGGGAACACGTACTGGTTCACAACGTTGATCTTCTGCTCCGGCTTAAGAAGGCAAGAGCTAACCAATTTGTCCAAGTTGTTGTTTAATTTTGTCACCATTTCCTCATTTAATACCAGCTCTCCCGAGAACGCACATCCTAAATACTTTATAGTTTCACCTGGCTTTGTTGATGCTATCACTTCTCCGTTCTCTAGGGAGAGCTTTGTTTGTTGCAGCTCTCCTTTTTCGACTATCAAGCCCACGCTTTTCTGCGGATTTATTGCTAGACCGATCTCGGCAAGGATCCTCTGCACACCATTAACAATCCTCTCTGCAGCACCCTTGTCACACGCTGTAACAGCCTGGTCATCCGCGAAGCCTGTGAGGACCACACATTCTTGGTCGCTGCTTAATTTATATCCATAGCGGTTGGCAAATTCTTGCTCACACAGGTCGCGGTACAGATGATCTATAGCCAGGTTGAACAGCGAGGGCGACAAGGGTCCGCCTTGGGGTACTCCTCGCCGCACCTTGATCCAGCTAGTCGAGTGGGCTCCGATCCCAATCTTGATTTGGTTTGAACCTACGTTCTTCAGGTCTGGTGACACTCCTCTTGCCTCTAGTGAGCCGATTATATGTTCGTGACCAACGTTGTCGAAAGCGCCAATGACATCCAAAAATACTACCGCGCAATCTTTCTTTTTATTCTTGGCGTCTTTTATGATTGCGTCGATAATTCTGGCGCTTACGTGTGCTCCTGGTAGGCCTCTGATGAAGCCTCTCTGATTTTTGCTGAAGGTGATCTGTTTTCTCAGTTCATGGTCCAGAACCTTCTCAATAATTCGGCGCACAATTGAATAAATGGTAATGGGTCGCCATTATGATATGCTGTTGCTATTTCCTTTACCCTTGTATACCAAGATTGTGCGCCTCTGACGTAAAGGCTCCGGTACATATGCCACCCTCAGCATGATCTCCGCAATGGTCTTTATGATATATGAAACATCAAAGAATTTAATCGTGCGGACCAAAACTCCGTCCGGCCCCGGTGATGTGTCCAATGACGTTGATTTGATCGCCTTTTTTACTACTTGGACATCGATGGATGTAAGATTTGGCGTCGGGGCGCAATTCTCGTAGTCCGCACGTTTGCAGAGATTTTCTTTCTCAAAGAGGCTTCTGAAGTGGCCTTCAATCTCGGCTACCTTCAGAGGGCATTGCTTAGGAGCGTCGGCGTTCATAATATTCTGCACCACTTTCTTTCTTCTGTTATAATAATTGTACTGGGCTACCTCATATTGATATTGTTCTTGCCGACGACTCCTATCTGCCTTGTTGGCCCTCTGTGGATTGGACACTTTTCCAGCACCCTTGCCAACCATATCAATCTTGTTTTTCCGTCTTAGCTTATAGAACTTGACGGCAGGGTGCTGTGGGCCGGGCAATTCTTCATTGATTGTTTTTAGAAATTTTAGAAAATTACCCACTGCCTCATCGAATTCCATATTATCCACATTGTTTTGCCGACCAAATTTCTGGAAGGTAGCCGACCATTTTGCTATTTGATTCTTTACTCCCTCTTCCTCATCCTCTACATTTTTTCCCCTTTCTATATTACCAATAAAGCCCCTCATTCTAGCGTCATTTGCCTCCCTGGGATGCTATATTAATAAATAAATTAAAAGTGTATTTATGAATTTATGGTCATTATAATACATTCTAAAAAATGAAATTAAAGCTTTGCAATAATTTATAGCAGACATTTTAAAAGAAAACACAAAGGGTACTTTTAGGTAATAAAAAATCAAGTTACTTCATAATAAACCTCAACTTAATTAATATGGATTTAAAACTTATTAAACAAGTTTTACAAAATTGGGGTATCTGAAGTATAGTTGGGGGTTATGATAAAAATCACAAATAATTCATGATTTTTTTTTAAGAACAGAACTAAACTTAGTTTAAATGTTCAAAAATCCTCTTTAAATGGTTTTCACAATGACAAACTCTTCTTTTATATGAAGTAAATTTTGTCTCGTTTATTGTGATGCAATTATTAATTACATAAATTAAATATTTTTATTAGTTACTGTTTCAACGAAAAACGCAACTTAGTTTTTAAAGAACACATCTTTAATTCCCTACTTTTCTGTGAAAAACTGGACCAATAGTGCTCCCATCTCGAATCCCCAGTAGTATCTCGAAAATTCTGTCCATGTCATTACTCATCATTAATTCATATTTACTGGTTGTATTTATTTAATACTGTTGTAAATTTCAATATATATATATATATATATATATTTTTTTTTTTTTTTGCAGGAAACATGTCTTCGTGGTCCCACTCTCCAGGTGCCTAGCAGGCTTCCAATTCAAGGGCTGCTCAAGACCCTGCCCTGCACTCTATGACCCAATCTGTGCTTCAGATAATAAAACTTACTCGAATGAATGCTTCCTTGAGATGGAAAACTGTAGATCAAGAAGTCTCGTCACTAAACAACACCATGGTGTTTGTGGTCAGCCTGTTGAAGAGACCAAAAACTATTTGTACTAAGAAATGCACTGTGTTACCCTTTTATGAAAAGATGGGTTGGGTGCACAAGTGTTGACTGATCCATAAATTACTAATGTATCTCTGATGTTGCAAATGACTGATGGCCTATCTGTGGTTATTTTTTATTTATATTTTTTAAATTTTATTATTTACCTCTTCAAAAGAATTTGAAAAGATTAAAAACATATTTGTTTATTTATTTTTTCAAATGCTATGTTATTAATTGGAGTGACACTGTATTTGTGAAAACAACATTCACTTCGATAGATGTTGCCATCTGGTTGGACCAAATCATTATTATTAGTTAAATAAATTCCAAACTCTAAATTAAGTATTTTTAGTCAACTTTTAATATTCTATCATTTATGTTCTCTATTCAGGTTTGATTAAAATCTAGTTACTACAATTGTTACAGCATTTATAAGTTTTTTGGGAGATGATTTTTTTTAAACATTAATAAAAAGTAAATTTAATTTTTGTGAATTAAGAAATATTGGGGAAGGGCGAAGGTTAGTATAATATGATAATAGTATTCTATGCATAGGAGAGAGGAGGGAGGATTGTACGCCATACATAAAGATTAGCCAGCAATCAGTTATTGCCTGTAATATAATATAATTATTACAATACGATTTATTGAACTTTAAATGAGTTATTTTAAAGTAAATTACAGCAAAATATTGGAAGTGCTGGCTCTCCCCTCCATAAAATATTGAGGGGGATGTGCAAAGAAGTCATTTCTCCCCACTGCTTAAGTGTTCAGCTATGATGAAACATAATTCCATAGACTCTTCATAACCAGAAAAAAAAAGTCATTTAATTTATATAAATCCTTCCGTGTATAAGAAATAGTATAAAATGTAGGGTGTCAAAGATCGGTAGTCCAGTGTATGGTTCTGTGTTAAGACTATAGGCATGTTTCTAAACTCAACACTTAGCACATCGATGGCATTCTTTGGCCCAGTTTAAAGACGGATTTAATCAGTTCAGCGTCGAGTTTAGGAACTTGTCAGTTAGTTACTTCCTAGATAAACGTTATTCCGTTTTGGAAGGGCTTACTTTAAACTACTATCTATCATAGACACAGACACGATTTTGATTGAGGCGAAGGACCAAAAAAAAAAGAATGGTTGTAGTTCATATTATGTGTGCAAATTAAACATAATTATTGTGAAACGAACAAATGTAATATCGGATGTTTACAAATAAATTTATAGATACGTTTAGATAGTTGTAGATTTTTTTTTTTTTTTTTTTTATGCGCTTATGGATATACTTGAAAATATCTGAACAAAACAATTTAATATGTTAAAATTTGATTTATTGATCCCATTAAACATTAGAGGAAGGGGTGCAGCCACCATAACATAGGTACATTTCCAGAATTTTTTAGATAAGGAATTATGTTAAAAACTGAAAAATACTTTTAATTTCTTAGTTTGTACAACCTCCAAATAAAAATAAAACTTTTTCATGGTCTGACTAAAAATGTAAAAATGTCTATAAAACATTTTCTATAAAACATATTTATGCTTGTACTTATTGAATATATTTTTCCATGAAAAATGAATGAATCATAAAATCCAAGGATATGTTTCTATATTATTATCCCTGAATATAAATGAAAATTTTAAAAATAGGAATATTTAGGTCGTGATAAAATAGTTACGTACCTACTTATAGGCCTTAGCTTAGGCTAGTCACCTTTTCTTAATCGATTTCAGTTTAAATATTTTATTCATTCATGTATTTTATTTGTTATAAATTAAAATTTTTTAATTTCAAATCATTGGGGGGGGGGCACCAAACGATATTCTCACCCCTCAACGTTTTTATTGGAGGGGCGATCGCCCTGATCCCCCTCCCCGAAGTCTCCGCTTATGTTACTAATGTTCGTAATGCCTAAATGCCTAGAATTATTTAGAATTTCCACAAGAACTACATTAACTATTAACTGCTCTTTAGATACCACTTTCACTACATAAATTTGAATCAAGCCTGAATAAGACTTACGTCATTTAACTAATTCACGATTACTTTATTATTATTTTTATTAAATTATTAATGTTTTGAATATAGAAATTACAAAAATTATTTATATTGTTTAAATCTTGCCGGTAAGGAGTTTTATCCAATTTGGAATAATTGTAGTATTTTAGTTGGTGGTAGAGTGGGGTGTAGATCATTATAGGGTACTACTTTATAGGTGTTGCTCCACTTTGATGGTTGACAACAAGATCACATGATCATACTATAAATGAAATTCGGAGAATGACCTAATATTAATAACGGAATAATGGGTATATCCTCTTTTTATTATATCGCAATTTACTACTTTAAACTGGTTCTTTTAGTTAAAGTCAAGGCCTTAATTAGCTTTGATTATATCGCTGCTTTTGACTTCCACTCGCTCAAAACAGATAAATAAATATTCAATACAATCCTGAACTTTTCAATTGAGGACGGTTCGGCAGAACTGTCAAGTCTTTTTCATCTGAATTTTTTCCTAATTCCACCAACTTTAACTCTAAATGTTCAATTCTTATTGTAATCATAATTACCCCTCTCGAATAAGGTGGTTTACTTTATAGAAAAATTCTAAAAACTTTTTGTACACTAAAAAAATCCAAAGAATAATAAAGATACTCTGAATCTAAAGAAAGAAAAACAATCTGGCAACTCTGTGGTTCGGTCCCTTGTCTACATTCGGTCATTCTCGAAATTCCTTTGATAGTGTGATCCAAAGATACTGTGCTCAATGCCGGCGGCCTTAGGGTCGGGTAACCAGACCAGAAGGGAGTCGCCACTTGTTCGAAATAAAAAAAAGTTGTATAAGAATGATTAATTTTAGCCAACTTATAATTAAAATGAATTAGAGAAATATTGAATGAAATATAATTAAAATATTGTTTAATATAAAACAGCTTATAAAATGTTATTTTGGGGGGGGGGGCGATGAGGTTCTTGTCCGCGGGCGCCAAATTTCTAAGTCCAGCACTGACTGGACATCCAAATGGAGCATCACTTGTAATGATATAATGAGTAATACCACTATAGATATTTATGAAATTATAAATCTCGTAAAAATTGCAGAAAATTCATTTTTAACGTTATTAATTAATGTTCTAATAACGTTTATTTATTAATTAACGTTTCTAAACTACTAGGAAGTTGAAAGACCGGTAACCTACCCTAACTATAAACATTCTAAATAAGCGACTTCCCCCACGCTACCACCCCTCCTGACTCTTCTAAATGCATACCTCTATTTTTACTCTGTTTTTTTATTATATCTTTTTTAGTGGCACACACAAATACGTGTTGTTGTTTTTTGTACATATTCATGAGGTAAAAACACTTTCCAGGTAACAATGTCCTTATTATTTTACTGAATAATGTAAATCAAATGATTATTAGTAACTTGAATGAACATTAGGAAAACGACTGTAAAAATGTTTATTAATTTTGTTTTTTATTGATTAGTTTAGGTCAAATAAATTATTTATTTAAGATTAATTGTTTCCTTTCATTCTACCTCCTAAAAATAGTAATGCTGAATCGACAATATGTGCATGTGCGTGTGTGTGTTTAAAGGAAATGTATTCCTTTAATATGAATATTGTTGCGCATCTACTACTGACCTAGTAATAAGAAAATTAATAATGAATTGTCCATGTATGAATTATATCATACAAATTTTATGGTTGAAAATGTTAAACAATATTTAGTTAGGAATTGACCTTGTAATTATTAACATTAAATGTCATTTCTTTTCTAATTGAGAAAATAAGTTATGTTTTTACTATCAGTTTCACTACTCCTCGCCATAATAATTACAAAGTAAATTCATAATTAAATGTTCAATAATTTCAACAATTTTAATTATAATAGTATTTAATGAGATATATTACAATCTGTCACAATTTCAACAATATTATACCTTATTACACCCATGTTTAATAAAAGAGAGGTGACTTTGTAGGTCAAAGGATGTTGTTTTGGGATCTGAATTGGAAGATGGAATGGCTGTGTCATTAGCGAATGTTGCCAGGAGGGTTTCCGGATGAGTAGGAATATCAGCGGTAAAGAGAATGTAAAGGATAGGACCCAAGATGCTCCCTTGAGGAACTCCCGCCTGAATTGAATAACAGTTGGAAAATTCAGTTCAACAGCGGACTTGAAAGGAGCGGTCAGAGAGATAAGATCGAAGTACTAGATGTAAGGAGTGAGGTAGATAGGTTTTAAGCTTGAAGAGCGATCCGGTGTGCTATACCCGGTCAAATGCTTGCGCAATATCCAGAAATGAATCCGAGCAGTATTGCTTGCTTTCTAGGGCTGAGGATATATGGTCAACAACTCGGAGGCCTTGTTGGACAGTGGAATGTTGGGAACGAAATCCGAATTGGTGGGTAGGAAGATTTTGGAATTCTATTATGGGTAGGATTCGTTTCAGTACAATCTTTTCAAAGATTTTTGAAAGGATGGGAAGTAGGCTTATTGTTATATAGGATGTTGTGTTATTAGAAGGTTTACTTCGCTTCAGAAAAAGGATGATGACAGAATGTTTCCATAAGAAAGGAAAGCGGGTAGTTCGTAGGATACAACTGTACATAGCATTTCCAAGTCAATTTCAACCTTTTCCAAGTCAAATTCAACCTTTTCCAAATCAAATTAAACTTTTTCCAAGTCAAATTCAACAATTTCCATTTCAAATTAAACCTTTTCCAATTCAAATGTTTCTATTTCAAATTAATGTTTCAAATTTTTGAATGTTTTTTTAAATAAGAGGCATTCTCCCTCCCCCTAGAATATGAAGGTCTATTATTATGCTCCCCTAAGGAGAGGTTTTCAAAATACTATCGATTTTATGTTACACTTACGGATATTGATTTATTGTACCTATTCCGATTAATTAGGGTCTAGTATTATGATATCGTGTGCCTATTTTTTTAAAAATGACCTCCATTTTATGATTATTCCACCGCGTTTAGACTTATTTATTTAAGTTTTTGGGATTTATTCGATATAAGTGTGTATTCTTATGTTTTTAGAGCCGTAGATTTTGAAAATGACCTCCATTCTATGATCACTTCACTGCGTTTCGACTTATTTAAGTTTTTTGGATTTATTCGATATAAGGATGTATTCTTATGTTTCCAAAGCGGTAGATTTTGAAACAGGCCTCCATTTTAAGATTATGAGTTTCGACTTATTTAAGTTTTTCTATTTTATGCGATATAAGGGTATACTTTTATGTTTCCAGAGCCGTTGTTTTTGAAAATTACCTGCATTTTAAGATTAGGCCACAGTGTTTTGGATATTAGTATTTTAAATTTTTCGAATCACTAATATTTAATCTATATTTTATGATTACGCCGCTGCATCTCGATTAATTAACGTTTATTCTTAAAATGGGCGTCATCTTCAAAATCTGCGGTTCCGGAAACATAAGAATACAGCCTTATATGAAAACAATTTGAAAAGCTTAAATAAGTCGAATCGCAGAGGCGTAATCTTAAAAAGGAGATCATTTTCAAAATCTACGGCTCCGGAAACATAAGAATATACCCTTATATTGAATAAATAAGGGTCGAATAAGTCGAAACGCAGTGACGTAATAATAAAATGGAGGTCATTTTCAAAATCTAGGGCCCAAAAACATAAGAATACACACTTATTTCGAATAAATCCAAAAAAACCTAATAAATCGAAACGCGATGGCGTAATCATAAAATGGATGTTATTTTCAAAATCTACGTATCCGAAAACATAACAATACACACTTATATCGAATAAATCCAAAAAACTTAAATAAGTCGAACCGCGGTGGCGTAATCATAAAATGCAGGTCATTTTCAAAATCTAGGGCTCCGGAAACATAAGAATACACACTCATATCGAATAAATCCCAAAAACTTAAATAAGACGAAACGCGGTGGCGTAATCATAAAATGCAGGTAATTTTTAAAAAATAGGCACACGACAGCATAATACTAGACCCTAATAAATCGGAATAGGTACAATAAATCAATATCCGTAAGTGTAACATAAAATCTATAGTATTTTGAAAAACTCTACTTAGGGGAGCATAATAATAGACCTTCATATTCTAGGGGGAGGGGGAATGCCCCTTATTTAAAAAAAAAATCAAAAATTTACAAAAATTTGAAACATTAATTTGAAATAGAAACGGTTTAATTTGAATTGGAAAAGGTTTAATGTGAAATAGAAATGGTTAAATTTACTTGGAAAAAGTTTAATTTGATTTGGAAAAGGTTGAATTTGACTTGGAAAAGGTTGAATTTGACTTGGAAAAAATTGAATACGACATGGAAATATTACACTGAAAAAATCTAAAAAGTTAAAATAAATGGATATGCAACCGCGTTATCATATCTTTTTTTTTTGTATTTTTCAAAAGCTATGCCTTCGATAATATAGTAAGTGGCCTTCATTTTGAAGAAAATCGAAAATTGACAAAAATACGAAAGTTGAATTTGAAATGGAAAAGGTTAAATTTGACTTGGAAAAGGTTGAATTTGAAATGGAAAAGGTTTAATTTGAATTGGAAAAGGTTGAATTTGATTTGGAAAAGGTTGAAATTGACTTGGAAATGCTATATAAGTGAGGAATGTGATTGCTTTGGATGGAAGTTGCCGAAGGATCTGCGGGAGTAGAAGGTCGTATCCAGGAGATTTACGGGGAGATAGTTTTTTTAAATGATGTTTGACCTCGAAGGATTAACTGCTTTTGGTGGTAACTAGGGGGGGGGTGAAGAGAGGAATTCTTCTACTTTTGCAGTGTGGGTAGGATGGGATTCCGGATGAGGAGTGAATGTGCAGGAGAGGTGTTTGGCGAATTCCTCAGCTTTGTCTTCATCAGAAGCCGCCCAGGAGCCATTACTTCGACGGAGGGGATGGGAAACATGGTGGGATTTTAGGATTTTTTTTTTATGATATTCCAAAGGGAATTGTCATGAGCGGAGAGAGAGGTAAGGTAGGAGTTAAAGGATTGGGATCTGAAGTAGGATAATTCCTGCTTCAGTTGTTAACAGTAATAATTATAGGAACGGCGATCGGCTGGATGTCTAGTGTGTTGCCATAATGATCTGGCACGGCGTTTGATATGGATTAGGTCGAGGAGGTGTTGAGGTAACTTATTTTTCTTAAGGATTTTTGGAGAGTGATAAGAGGAGGAAGCAGTCCAGACTGCTTGTTGAATCATGGTGGTAAAGGAATGTACGGCATTGTCAAGGTCTTCTGCGGTTTTCAGGGTTATTCTGAGGTCAATTTGATCGGAAAAGGATTTGATAAAGAGTTTCCAGTTGACTGGACCTCTGATGAAGGATGGTGGGGAGGGTTTAGGAATAGGAGCTAGTGATACTTGGAGTATTAAAGGACTGTGGTCTGAGGAAAGTTCATCAAGACGGGTAAGAGAATGATTGATGGGACCTAAACCACTGTGAATGAAGAAATCAAGGATATTAGGATTGCGGTTAGGATCAGTGGGCCAGTAGGTAGTGAGTTAGGTAGAAGGGGCTGAAATGTTTGGGAATTGAGTGCAGATAGCAATGTAAAACCACGAAAATTCGTGATTTTTGAACATCACTGTTGATGCTTTGAGTTTAAGTCTGCACCCAGGATGAAATGATGTCCTAAGGAATTGAGGAGGGAACTAAATTGGGCATTGGAGATGGATTGATTAGGAGGGCAATACGCTGATGCAACGGTAATAGGAAAGGAGAAGGTTTTGATTATGATAGCAGTGGATTGTAGGAAATCGTGGGTTGGTGTTGGGAGTAGGTGAGATGAGAGAGAGATTGGTGTACAAGGACAGCAGTACCGGCATGTGCCCTACCGTCAGGATGGTCAGTACGATATGTTAAGTACTGTGGGATTTTTAACTCGAGTTTCAGTAATGAGGGCTACATCAACGTTCTTGTCTAGTAGTAGAGCTGTTAGTTCGTCAGTGTGGTTTCTAACACCATTCGCATTCCAAAGGAGAATGGATAAGGGTTTGATGGGATTCATTTAAGGATTTTTTAAATGGGGGATGAGATGAGATACTAGATTTATGAGGAGTGATATCAGTGGGGTAACAAGGGATTTAAATTCAGTAAGGAATGATGCCAACAGACTTGTAAGGTCTGTGGCATGTGATGGAGGAGGAATATGAGGAATTTGATGTTGATGAAATTGATGAGGATTTTGTTCATTAGGAGGGACAGGATGTTGACGTTGGGATTGGGGTCGTTGTTGCGGCAGGACCTCACATCTATCAGTCTGGTCTCTACCTCCGAGTAGAGAGAAGGAAACTTTAGGGTCCACATTTAAGCAGGTCCTCTTCTGGGTTGGGAAGTTTCTTCTATGTTTCGAGATTTGTAAATTTGATTTTTGATATTTTTATAGATCTCACAGCCCTTTTAGTTGGCAGGATGTCCTTCCTGACATAGAGCACATACTGCGGGTGCTGATTTCGATTTCGTGCATTCACCGGACTTGTGTGTCTGTCCGCAT